AAATAAATAAATGCATGAAAGTCGTTAAGTACTGATAAGAAACATAGCAATAGTACTACTTCAAATAAAAATAGTGATGATAATAAAAAAGTAATATTAGTAATAAAAAAACTTCTTGTTTTAGGTCAATTAGAATTATCAAAATTATTTGTGTTTTCTAAATGTGGGAACATTTTATGTTTGAAAATGTATCAATCCTAATAGATCTGTCAATTAACAGAAATAAATATCGGCTTATATTTTATGCAAAGTGTTTTTTGTTGTTGTTGTTGTTTTTTTTGATTAATGTTGCATTTTTGAGTTAATAGGTTGTGTGAAACACACAACCTAATATTTGAAAATTTGTTTTATTTTAGTTTTTTTTGCCCCTGCTGTAGAATGTAAAATACTTCCACAAACATATAAATAACAGTAATAAATTATGTAATACAATAGTGATTTGAAACTTTCTTTTTTTAACTCATTTTTTTGTTTTTATCTCCAAAATATGGAAGTGGAAAAGTTTGAAAACTTACCTTGAAAATGCTTGAACTTTACTGTGCAGAGATAAATCAATACTTATCCAAGAAATCCAGAAAAGAGATGTTTCTGTTTTTAAATTTTAGCCTAATTTTTAAGTCCAACACTCCTAACATAGAGAATAGTTTTCTGGAGCAAACAGATGAAACTCATCTAATGTTTTCTACTCTGAAAGTTCTAGAAAATCTAGAAATACACATCTGAAATTTTGCAGTAGAGGTTTTTGTAGGAATTCTGGATGTATGAGTCTGTTTTATATCGTCTTTTCATTCAGGAATCTGTCAGAACCACCTGAAACTCCAGACATTTTCTGTCTGAGTCTTGACGTTTTGCAGCAGAACATACCTGAACTGCCAGCGATAACGCAGCTCCATGAAATAAACATAAATCTGTCCAGATGTGACAGAGACGGATCGTATTTCTTGAAGGCGTTTCAAGTCCCTGCATGCTCACCGCAGCATCGGGTCGAACTAAATCAGGGCCCCTCATCTGCTATCACCTCCTCACTTCAGGAGGAATTTTAAATAGGGACTCCTTGCACAACGTGTCGGTTAAATTTAATGAATCCAAACTTTTTCCCCTCAGAGCAGAGAGCAGAAAACGGTTACCCTGCTCATGGTTAGCCTTAGTCTTTAGCTTCGACTGAAAACAATTAGAGTTGAGTCGATTTAAGTCATACAGAGGGCAAGAGAACGGTGACATATTTATGTAAAATGACAGTAATAGGATGATCGAATCCAAACAGCTTCAATTTTTATTGCTTATATTTTTCATCCAAGCAGCCAGACTTTCTTCTAATCTATTAGTGACTTTAATATGCCTCTTTTATTTATCCAAAGCAGTTGTATAATGTTTGATGACATAAACTATACAAGTTATCTAAATAACAGTGGTTTTCACTGAAGAACTTACTCTAGAACGAGCAACATTAGCTTAGCTAATGTAGCTATTATGTGGTAGCAAAGATGGACGTGTAGCCTACGTGTGTTTTACCACATGTACTTACTCTGCCAGTCACCAGAAGCTTGTTATTCACATGAAGGATTCGTAGTTCCTTTACAAATCTGATGAAACATGGAGTCGAAGCTCCTCCATGGTGTAAACACTCTTCCTGTTCAGTAGGCATTGAGCTACATTATGGCAGATTGTTGACATCGTCAGACATGTTTTCATTCTCTGTCTCATATGGTTTAATCCTGACAGCAGCCATTTTGTTGATATATCTTTCTCTTGCACTTTGGGGAAGAGTGTCAATATGTTTTCTTTATGTTGGTCTCAAAGCCATGGTTCTTGCCTACCAAAATGGCGTGGATCACTTCCTGTTCAGACTTATGCATTCTGACCCTTGAACTTGAGCTCTTTCTCCTGCAGATGCTGACGCTCGGCGTGGGAATCGGCGTGCTGCTCTCCTCCCTCCTGCTGACCTACATCATGAGCTCCAAGGCCGACATCCTCTTCAGCTCGGGGAGGGAGCCCACCAGCGCCACCTACTGATCCGCAGGGACTCGTCTCCGGCCCGCCACCACTACACTTCTCCTCCTGCTACTACAATAACCGCTAGTACTACTTCTGTCCCACGCAGACTTTAAAGCTCAGCAAGCGAAGGTACACAGACGGCTTCGCCTCGGCTGAACGCGGGGCGCCGGTTCTGACTCCGTGTTCATGGACTCGCTCAGGTGAGGCTTGACGTCAGGACCGGAGTGGACCGAATGGATCTGGACTCTTCAGGAACAGGAAACACTGGTCAGGCACCAGCGGCGCCCTGTCAGCGGACAAGATGTTTATATTTCTCTGGATTTTTTTTTTTTTGGGCTTTTCACCTTTTTAATGTCGAGAAATGTTTTTGTTTACTGTGTCACGGGACCGGCACTAAACAGTGAGCGTGTGAGAAGCTGCCTGATTGATTTAGAGTAATTTTGAGTTTGTGTGTGAACTTTGGGGATTGCGATGGTATGTGCAATACTGCAGCCGTCTTTTGTGTAAATGTAGTTAAATTATCATCTGTAATGATTCAAAAACCACTTTTCGAGCCGATGATCGGTGAGTAAAAATCAAATTTATGCTTTAAACTGACCTAGAAAGGATGATGTTAGGACATTTATACTGTTGATGCCACGACATGTGCGTGTAGTGTTTTATTTCTTTTAACATTTGAAGGGGAGACGATCTTGATCCAGCTGGAAAAAATCTGAAAATTTTGAGTTTTAATACTGAAAATGTTCCTGGTACTTTTGCTCTGCACTCCCTTGAATTCCTTTTTTTTTTTTTTCCAACAATCTTAGAATAACTTTTTGGAGATTCTTGACCATTTTGTAGAGGAAATGGCTGGAATAAAACATGCATTGTGAGATCTTGAAGATAAATAAATAAACATTTGCTTCTTTTTTATTATTATTATTCCAATGCTTTGCATGTGCTTTTAATGTCTGATATGTCGCAGCTACTTGAAACAAATCCTTTACGCCGATAGTAGAGCTTTATAAACTGCAGTAATAATACTGTGGCTTCTGTTTTACCACATAACCCATAAAAACTGGTTTGGATCCGTGTCGTTTCATTACAACTTGCAAGTTTTCCAGCTTCCTTTATAACTTTATGTGGACACAGGATTCCCGTGGCCACATCCAAAGCGGCTCGTTAGTTTGCAGCTTTTGGCGACGCTTGCTTGTTTTAATAGGATTAATATTTTGCGAGAACAAGGCGGCAGTGTTGATGTTCTGCTATGACGACACAACGCTGCTCGGCTTGGCTAATGATTCAATAATTCACTTTTGATGCGTGGATCATCGTTTTTCCAACTTCCTTGCACATTTTTTTTTTTTCAAACCTTTTCCTCTGCAGAGAGTCGTAATATTTTGTTACAAACTGTCAGGTCTGATCTGGATCGAAGGTTTTCTGTTGATTTTCACTCATTTTTGTGGAGGATATTTTATCTTGATTGGCTCCCTACTTCACATTTCCACTTCTAGTCAGATTATTTAAAATTTCTGACATTAAACTACACAGTGTGTCTAAATTACAGCATGTTAACGGGAAACTTTGTGTCAAAATCAAAATTCAAGTTTGACCCGCTTGCATAAATAAATGTTGCAGTTCACTGATGATTGCAATACTTTGTTCTTATATAAAGAACAATACGTTACATAAATAAAAAATTGTTAATGCCAGTCAACATTTTAAAATTCATATTAAACAGTAATGAGATTCTTTTGGTCAGTGAAGAAAGCACAGCATGTTTACTTAGGCTTGGGTCTGGAACATATTGCATAAAAATTATTAAACTAATAAATAAATAAATGCAGCTGCTCTTATATTTAGAAACTACCAAACATATAATTGATTAGTGTGAATATGTAAATAAATGAAAACTATGTATTTTCTGGCTGATGTACAAAAGCTTCATTACAGTTGGATCACAATGTCCTGTTGTAATTATATATTTTTTAAAGTTGGAAAAAATATTTTCAATATTTTATGAAGATTTTAAGTAAATAATAGAAAATACAATTTAGAAAGAAGTTAAAATAAATGTCTTTCTTTTAAGCTAAAAATCTTTATTAAAATTCACTTAAGAAAAATATTTTATGCCTAATACAGGAAATTAAAACAATCTGCAATATTTTCTAAATATTTTTATTACAAAAAATTAATTTACAAAAAAGTTGAGAAAAACACACAAATGATGCTAAAGCTTTGAAGCCACTATTTTCCGATTTTTAAAATGTTTGTTTTACAAATATTGGGATAAATAAAGATTTTTATGGATACAAAATAATATCTGGCCAATATAACTTCATATGTTGCGTTGAAGAAAGTGGCTCATTTACGCAGATATTAATTGTGTCTTGTGACGTCACACTACGCATTCCTTTCAAATGAGGAATTTAACGCGTCGCGGTGGAGCCTCATCGTTTCCTGGACCCAGTTTGTCCCCTGGGGGGGAACCAGAGGTGGGGCCAATCCGGAGAGGAGGCGGGGCCCCACGGAGCTTCGGCTGAGTGGGAGAGAGAAAGTGGAAAGTGAGGGGGGAAAATACCTGAATGGACGACCTGGAATAAGTAAGTAGTATTTGTTTTTTGGTTGGTGTTTTTTTTGTTTTGTTTTGTTTTTTTGCTGTGGAAAATGTGTGAGGAGGTTCCGTGGGTGTGGGGTTGTGTTCGGTGTTTCCACGGAGGGAGAATCGGGGAGGATTGTGGATCTCCGGTTTCACCCCCACAAACAATAGTCTGCAGACGCGATGGTCGCCTTTTCTTCCCCTTTTCTTCCTCCCGAACCGCAGGGAAGTTCAGGTCCCTCCTCGGCCCCCCGATTGTTGCTCTCGCTCCGCGGTGCTGGTTCTGGTTCTGGTCCCGGCAGACGCGAGTTCGGGTTTCCTGGGATCAGAAACCAAGATGCGCCTGGAGGGAACCAGCGCGTCCGCTCCGGTTGTAGGCCGAAGGGTTTGAATTTTCCTCCGGTGCGCCCATTCATTTCAGGAGGGCGTCCCGTCCCTGGACTCCGGAGAGAAACGGACCGGAGGTTTCTGGATCCAGGGGCCTGAAAGAACCTCCCATTGTCCCGCGATTTATAGCGGCCACAACTCTTGATACTGGTCTAAATGCTGCTGCTGGTTCCCAGTAAGTTCTCCCTTTGTGCATGTGCTGAATGAATGATGCGGCTTAAATACCTCCAGAAACCCTCTTCTTCTTCTCTTGTCTCTTTTTTGTCATCATGGGTCTGAAATTCAAACCGAAACGAGATGATTTTGCTGCTGAAGAGAGACAGGCCCAGCTTCAATGAAGGCTAATCGATCAAATATCATCTGTATCAGTATTGGTTGAATATTGGCCTGGACGATAAATTGCCCCAGAAGTCATTGCGATAAACGATATTGTTGTTGTCTTGATTTCATTTTCAAGTAGTATGATGGTAATGACGTAACAATGCAAGAACACATTATCAAAGATCAATAAGCTTTAAATTCAGATGAACATTTAACCCTGGAACTGGAATATATTTTAAATATCCAAAGTAAATAAGCAAAGCAGCCGAAACAACAAATAAAATGGATTATGAACTCGCAACTAAACAAAACTGTCCTTCGAAACACATAAAAATTTCTTGCCCACCTGCCACAAATAGCCAAACAAACATATTCCATCTTCTTCTGCAGCTTAACCTGAGAACTGTACCCAAAGATATTCATGGAAAGTTGAGTGGAAGGAAAAAAAAACACATTGGGGATCTTTCGTCTCAGATAGGGGAAAACAGAAAAAACTGCCAATTAGGACTTTTGTAAAAATTTAAATAAGTAAAAGAACAAACTAACCAACTTCTTCTGAATATCAAATGTTTGCAGCATTTTTCAAAATGATGCGTTTTCAATGGTAAAAAAAATTGTCCAAGTGGAAAGGATCGTAAACAGAACAACAAATAAAATGAATTACAAAAAACGATAAGTACAGATTATTGAGCTTGTTTTTATTTATCATCCGATTAATTGATTAATTGCTTATTGCACCTGCAGAGGTGCAGAAAAATAGCAGTACAGAACCGTAACTCCAACTGAGCAATATGAACTTGGAATTTTTGAAAGATAAAGATGTTGCATGCATAAATAAAAATAAACTAATTTACGATTTGAAATACATTTTTAAAACAAGATATTTATATTTACATTTGTTTTCCAAAATCCAAGGAATCCTGATTTACTCTGGAAGATGAAGATCTGAAGCCAAATCCTGTTGAGATTCATCTGCAACCTTGTTGTCTAACGGAAAACAGATAAGCTGTTTTTTTAAGGCAGAAAATTGAGCTCATCATCATTACTGGCACTTATTTTATTCCTGTATTCAACAACAAATATATTTTTATGAGTCTACATTGTCAGAGGTAAATATGTTTCACTTAATTAGGAAATATGTGGTAAATTATTGTAGTACAATGCCTTTCTAAAAAGATATTTGCCTTTAATTTTCTACATATTTTGTCACATTACAACTAGGAACTTCAATGTATTCTTCTGGGTTTTTATTTGTCAGCTCAGCACTGAGTAGCTATGAAGTGGGACCTTCACTTAGTCAACATTTTTATTTGACATTTTTACTAAAAATGGAAAAAAATAAATGTGCCTCACATTTGGATTCAGCCCATCTGAGTCAGAACCTCCTACAATCGTCTGTCACTGTGAAAACAGCTGCAAGTCTTTTTTATTTGTTCTTCATAAATCGTCTAAATCGGATTAAAAGTTGTGAAAGTTTGACCTCTGACCTTCCCCAGTTGAAGAAAAGGATCCCCACTGCATAATGCTGCCACCAACGTGTTTCACAGCGGAAATGTGCGATTTTCACTTTATATATATTTGCAAAAACAAAATGAAAAATCTTATAGTCTGAGAGCGTCTTCCTCATCATATTTGCTGTCTCTACTGAAACGATTAATGAGATTAATCGTGACTAATTGATTATTGAAATACTAGTCAACTAATTCAGTAATAGATTAACTGAAGTATGCGCTCTCAAAAATGTCATTTTGTTGAAAGAACACCACAGTCAGAGCAGCAATTAAACCAAACTTGTACAAAAATATAGCGGTATACATTTTGAATTTAGGATCAACAAAAAAACTTTACCTGTAAATATGTTCAACCCAGGACTCCTCTGTTAGCTTCACCTGGTTCAAATTCTTAAAAAAAAGTCCCTTTAAAGCACATTTTACAATTACTAATCACTTGATCTAAAAAACAAAAAAACAGTCACGCATTTACAAAAGGAATGCTGTGGTTTTGCATTTTACGCAATAACATGATTATTTTCTTGTTAAAAAAAGGAATTTATTTTTTGCGTATTTTTATGCATTTCTAATATTGTATGAAAAGATTTAAGTGGTTAACTGAAATTTTGTTGAGCAAATTGATTGTCAGAATTGATTAATTGACTACTAAAATAATTGTCTGCATGACAATGCAGACAATTATTATAATTGTTGTCTATTTTAATAATTACAATTATTATAATAGCGTGTACACACGCTATTATAAGCGTGTAAACACACTTATAATAAAATCTGAGAATTTTATTCATTCTCAGATTAAATAATAACACTGTTAAATTATGTGTCTTCCACAGATATTTGGTTGCACTTGATTTTATTTAGAAGCGTCAGAGTAAAGGGAAATAAATGCAAATGAACTACACGGTATACAAAGTTTTGTCTGGAAAAAAGTTTTAAAGTGATCAATCCTTTTTATTGCACTTCTAATTCACTTCCACCATCATCTGGAGCAAACCTGATGCGTCCATCGGATGAGATCAATCAGTCAGTGGTGTTTGAGATTCCCCTGAACCACATCCATCTCCTCTCTGTGAGCCACTTCCTGTCTCTCTGAGCCACTTCCTGTCTCTCTCTGTGCAGTAATTTTTATAGGTAAAATCCCAGTAATTGTATCTACAAATTACTGGGACTTGTAGATAAATCCATGGGGGGAACTTTTTAAACGAGACACCAATGCAGAATAAATCTCACTGCAGGAGTTTTGCTGGATGATAAATTGGCCCAGAAATTGTTGTGATGAATTATAATATTGTCATATTGGAACCATTTTCAACTACATATTAATGCAAGTAGATTTTCTTAAATATCAAAACAACTTTCATTTCTAATAGGTGTGATAATTTGTTGTGTTGTTTATCATTTATAGTAAAAGCTTTCATATGATAATACATGATTTATTGTTGTCATGATAAATTCCCATTAATCCTAAAAACTGTTTTTTTTTACTATTTGCTGCACCGTTTTCTCCACAACAGTATCAGTAAATTAGAAAATGTGATCAAATGAAGTTTCTACATGCAGATTAATGGTATAAATAACATTTCTTTCAGTAAAGTGGCGACTTCAGGAAACTTATTTTAAATGGGAACGATTTTCAAGAGCAGCATTTATGTGTGTGATGCCATGAATTACCTAAAAAAGAGCAAATATATATATATTTTATCATAATTTTTATCATTATCACAATAGTACCGTACAAAGTATTGGTTCACACCATTAAAACATCTGACACTGGAACTGGGAAACATTTTAAATACCCAAAATAAACATAACTATAGTAATTAAAATGCATTGTGAAGTCTTGGCAACTCTTGAAATCGCATTTCAAAAAATAATCATTCAGCTTAAAGCGGGAAACGGGCAAAAGGGGCAGGAGGTGCAAACTAAACCCTTTTGTTCTGGATTTCAAATGCCTGTTTCTCAAAATTCCAGCTTTTCAACAAAATTAAAACCAAGCGACTCTTTAATGGAAACGATGGCTGTCATTTTAATTTATCATGCGATTTATTGATTTATTGACGGGTTTAGTCACCGGCAAACACCTGCTGAAGTTTTCTAAATCCAAAAGCTTTAAAGCTGACAGCAGCAGTTGCCCAGTTTTCACTGGTGTTGTCCCAGCCGAGCGTGGGTGGTGGTCAATAATCTGTGTGTGTGTGTGTGTGTGTGTGTGTGTGTGTGTGTGTGTGTGTGTGTGTGTGTGTGTGTGTGTGCGTGTGTGTGTGTGATGAGCTCTTCCTCTGATGGAGCCTGGGTGTGTGTACACGCTTATTTTCACAGTTGGCTGCCGAGCGGAGCCGGTCATTTCAGAGATGTTCCTCCCTGACAGCTGCTGTCCCCATGCCAGCAGCTCCCAGCGTTTTCATGACGGGTTCATTTCTTCTTGCTTTTGGGGACAAATGAGGCTGTAAAAAAATGCATCTGTTTAAATGGAATGCAACAAGTGCTGAGTGATGCATTTAGTTTTTTTAAAATGTTTTCTAGGGTGTTTTTATTCAAAATCTTGCAGCTTTTCTCTTTTGACATCAGACATGGTAATAATAATGTCCATTAAATCTCTACTTCTGATTAGTGGTGATTATTTATCGTATAGTTGATCATTTATCATGATAAATTTCTTAGAAACCTTTGATTTATAGTCTTGATAAATCTGTGGGGATTGTTGGTTTTACTCTTTTCTATTTTATTAATGGACTCAGACCTGAACCTTCAGTTGCATAAAGACAGTTACAAAGTTGGCCTTCTATCACCTGCAGAATATTTCCTGGGTTAAAAGACTAATGTCACAGAGACATCTAGAGAAACTCGCATGCATTTAGCTTTAGTCGCATTGATTATTGCATCAGTGATTTCACTGCCTAAAAAAAAAAATCAGACAATTGCAGCTGATCCAGAACCGTTCATTCAATGAGTTCATCGACAATATCAAAGTGAATGTGCAGTTACACTTTGCAGTTTAGTCCCAAAGAAACGTATTACAAATGGGAATGTTTTTCAAGAGCTGTATTTGTGTCATGCAGTCACAGCTGAACATTTACCTAATCAATAGTCCTTATTGTCGCCTCGATCGTTATCAAGGTAGTACCATAAAATGATGCGATAAAACATAAATTTTTTTGTTTTGTTTTTCCTACCAGGAAATCCTTGGTGCAACTTCTTTTGGCCAGCTTAACAAATAACTTTAGAGCAAGATGAAAGTTTCTCTTGATTTAAGTCAATATTTTCATTAAGATTGATTAAAAATAGTTCTAGTTCCAGTGTCAAATTATTTCACTTATAACATTTTTCTAATCTGCCACTGGAACTT